TTGCGCCGCTGCTGGCCATGTAGCTCATCCAATAACAACCAGTGGGCGGATCGCTTTTATGGGGCGGAGCGCTTTCGAAGTCCTGCTCAGCAACCAGCGCACCTTAGGTTGTGAGAGCGCCACACCTTGCTTTCCTGGCAGGCAAAGTAACTGATTCGTGGGGTGCACACACTCTGAACCAATACGACTACTTGATCGAAGGCCTTCAATCACAGCCACTACTTCGACTTTTCTTCTTCATTTCAACTGTCATTTTACAACAGCATTTCTTTTCCTAACAATTTAAGCAACACTTAACATTACTCAAATAATTCAAAATTACTCAACACAAACATGAATCATTTCAGGAACGGGTTTGCGCGACGCATTAGCTACAAATCGATTTTTTGAGATCAAAAAACAAAGTCGGATTGGACCAATCACGAGCAACCGCGACGCAATCAGCCCGCTTTCCAAGAAATATAATTGACAAAAATCAAAGAAACATGAAGTGGCAATTGTAATGTGCTGGGAATATTACAGCAATCTTTTAGAACACTTCCATTTTACCATCACTCCGATTTTTTTTTGTTAAATAAAATTCCCTAATTTTGTAACTTGAATTGCACCGTGGGGTATGTCACGTCAATGTCACTGTAGCATATTTTCCGTCCAAGAAAAAATCAATTCAACTTCTTCTGACCACAAACCGTTGGCCTCCCACAGTGATCATAGTCGACTTCTTCGGGAAGTGCCCACCATGACAAATAAAAACATCCTGCCCACAGTGATCATCTAGACTTTTCGGGAAGTGCCCACACATGAACAAACAAAACCATCGATGAAAAATTGCTTCATGAACTGGGCCTTCAACCGAGGTGTGATAAGGCAACACGTCTTTTACAAACACGGATTTTCACAACAACGAAACAACAAAGCAGAAATATAACCTTCTCTATCAAAGAACCAGGCATATGGGGAGACATATGTGTGTTTGTGGAGAACGGATGAACCGAGTGAAACGAGGGGGACGTGGGGAAGAGCTGAGATGAACTCAGAACGAGATACTTTCAATGAGTAATCGTCGTGATAATGACAGTCATATTATCGCAACCAGTGCCATCGCCAGCCGTCGTCGGCGCCAAACAATGATCGCAAAGCTGGAAATCTCCGAATTAGCAAAAAAAAAGAATTATAGTAGAACAAAAAAGACTACGGAAATTTCCCGAGTTTATTTTTTGCCATAACATGAACGCCAAACCAGCCCTCCTTTGAGTAGCATCCACATCTGTCCCTACTTTTCAACATAGACGAAGCCTCGACGACATATTTAGCAACCCTAATTACACATTATAATTCACCATGCCTGCTGCCGGCGTTATACGCTTTCATGCGCTATGGAAAGAAATGTGACAGAAATCGATTAAGGAATATGTGGTAGAAATGGAAAATACTGGGTTGGTCGTCTGCACTAACTTTTAAACGCTTCATTTCTGAATAGCTTCTAAGAAACTGCTACCACTTGATATCAAAAGACAGCGCGTTTCTCTCTCTCTGTCTGAATCAACTGTATTTTTAACCCTGAAGCAATTTTCTCTCCCTTTTTCAGTCATCAGTACAACATACTCAATGGGCCGTTGAGTACGAGTTTCTCATTCTTCTCAAATTTGGTTGGAAAAGTGCTAAACCAATTCAGGATATCAACGAGCATAGTCACGAATCCACAAAAAAACTCCCTGTACACACAAGATTCAAAATACCTTTCTCGTGATGATAAAAGCTTCGAAGAAGGTTAATCAGATGTAGAAAACTGACTAAGATCAACTGAGGGTTTTGATCAAACCAAATCTGCATGGAAATTTGGACAAGACCGCTTCCTAATTAGGCGTAACTGAGATGGGGTTCCCAAATATGCAGGTGTTCCAAAGAACGTCTAAAGTCGACAAACAGAGGGCCGCCGACCCTTCTACCCACAGTTGCGCAGCCCCATCTCGCACTTCCAGCAGTGCACAAGTTGAACTAGCTGAACTACAAAACTGTGCTGCAAACATTTACACAGTAGACCTCTTGCCCACCAACTGCCACTACTCTAGTCATCTGGATGGTCTTTTCAGAGAGACCAAACGTTAAAACCCAAGATGTTAGTGGAACGATCTTCGCCAAATTTTTCGCCTACAAAACTGCAGTGCTGACATCCGGTCTATTGAACCCTCTTCCTTTGAGCAAAGGTATAGGAGTTACGATAACAGTTTTTTTTTCGATCAAAAATGTTTTTTCTTTGCAAACCGAGAGCGCTTTCGAATTTGAGGATAAAATAGGAGGAAATTTCCAAACAAGTAAATCTACAACGTAACTGACCTCTGAAGAAATATCCACACAAGACTTCCCTCGCTTTAGTCGTTCTCGAATGAAATCTACAACTTGCTGTGAGTTCAGTGAGTTCCTGCAAATATTATCTATTACTTCAGAGAATGGTCACGACTGAAAGCTTCT